CTTCAAAAATAAGTTCCACTAAGTAGTATTAAATTTCTCCGTTGTCTCACTTCACCTTTTAATCCTTATGTTAATTTTTTCAAAGTCTCTTAATCACCCTTTGTTACCTCCAGCCATCCTTTCTCCACTCCTTTCTCTAGTTTCAATCTCTACTTCTTGCAGCTCTTAAATTCTGGTCTTTCACGTTTTATAAACTTTACTGTGGGCTCTCTGCTTCTTCTCGCTGCTCTCGTTCTGCTATATTGCTCCCTACTCCGCTCTATTCCATTTCAGTTGCCGCTGTATCTCTCTCCTTATCGCTTTGCTTTTTCCGTGCCTTCTCTCCACCAAATATTCCTTACTCAGGGGTTTTCCTCGTCTCCCATACGAAACTGTCAGTTCTACTTTTTGCTTCCCTCTCAGACTGCCGCCATCGCTCCAGGCCAGTCTTGGAGACCGGCTTCTTCTCCGCCAATTTTAAAAGTGCTGCTCCTGTCTGCTCGGGTGTTTGCTTTCCACCCGGCTTCTCTGAAGCTTCCTCTTTAATTTACCAATCTCTCCGGGATCGGTAAAGCCCTTGCCGGGCTCTTAGCGAAGATTTTTCGGGATTTAGGAACAAACGTCTGTTCCTTCACCCGCTCCACGATGACGTCACAGCCGGAAGTCCCGTGTTTCATTTCTTGGTCATTTAAAATTGGTTCATGTTAGGCTTGTTTCACAATGCCTTAACTTAATGGGATTCTCCTGTAGATAATTTAATCAAGATAATGTCCTAATCCAGAGATAGGCAATCCAAAACACTCAAAGAGCCACTTGGACCCGTTTCCCACCGAAAACAACACTGGGAGCCGCAAAACCCTTTTGATATCTAAAATGAAGATAACACTGCATATATCCTTTTTTACCTTTATTATAGGTGTGTGTGTGTGTGTGTGTGTGTGTGTGTGTGTGTGTGTGTGTACATACATATACACACACAGGTAAAAAATGATATATGCAGTGTTATCTTCATTTTAGATGTCAAAAGGGTTTCTCTCTCTCTCTTTCTCCCTCCCTTTCTCTCTTATCTGCCCTTGGTCTGCCAGTCCTCTTCCCCCACTCTCTCTCTCTCTCTCTCTCTCTCTCTCTCTCTCTCTCTCTCTCTCTTTCTCTCCCCCCTCTCTCCCTTTCTCCTACCTGCTGCTCACCTGGCAAGCTGGCTTCAAGCTGTTCTCCAACAAGCTCAGGGGTAGGCAACCTCGGCTCTTTTATGACTCATAGACTTCAACTCCCAGAATTCCTGAGTCAGCATAGCTGGGCTAGCTAGCTCTCTCCTGCCCTTCCTGCTTCCTGTAGAGACACAGCAAAGGGAGGAGGTCCGCCCAATAAGCTTTTCAGCTCCTCAGAGAACACTGTGGGTGCACTCTCTTTTACACACACACACACACACACAAACACAAACACAAACACACACACAGAGAGAGAGAGAGAAACAGGGAAGCGCAATTGCCTCTCTCTGTCTCTGTTTCTCTCTGCAAATGGCAGAGAAGGCTGGGAGCCACAGGGGAAGGCTCAAAGAGCTGCATGCGGCTCCAGAGCTGCAGGTTGCCAACCTGTGTCCTAATCTATGCACATTTTCAAGAAAGCTTTATATAGTAATCACCATGCTTTTCAAGCAGATTGTTTTGAAGATATGGAGGGAAAAGGGACTCTGTAATTCAGATCTAGAGAGGCCTTCTAGTAATCATCCAAGGATATATGCAGTGTTATCTTCATTTTAGATATCAAAAGGGTTTTGTAGCTCCCAGTGTTTTGTTTTTGGTGGGAAACGGGTCCAAGTGGCTCTGAGTGTTTTGGTTGCCTACCCCTGACCTATACCATCTCAGGTGATTGTCTAGTCTATTCTTAAAAATCTCCAGTGATGGACCGCCCATGATTTCTGGGGGTAAGCTGTTTCACTGGTTGATTGTCCTCACTGTCAGGAAGTTTCTCCTTCATTCCAGGTTGCTTCTCTCCTTGATCAGTTTCTAATCATTGTTTCTTGTCCTTTGTTCTGGTGCTCTGGTGAACAATCGACCCCCTCTGCCTCAGCCCCTCAGATACTGGAATACTGCTATCATGTCTCCCCTATTTCTTCTTTTCTTTAGACTATCCAAACCCAAGTCTTGCAGCTGTTCTTCATATGTTTTAGGCTCCAGGCCTTTGATCATCTTAGTTGGTCTTCTCTGAATTTTTTCTAAGCTCTCAACATCTTTTTTGTGATATGATGACCAAAACTGGCTGCAGTATTTCAGGTGTGGTCTTACTAGGGCTTTGTAAATCGGTACTAGTACTTCGCATGATCTTGATTCTATGCCTTTGTTTATACAACCCAGGATTGTGTTAGCTTTTTTGGTTGCTGCTGCACACTGCTGGCTCATAGTCAAGTGATCGTCCACTAGGACTCTAAGGTCCCTCTCACAATTACTGTTTTTAAGCCAGGTCTCGCCCAATCTGTATTTGTGCTTTTGATTTTTCCTGCCTAAGTGTAAGACTTTTAGATTAAGACTTTCTTTCAGTTACAAATATCAACCAGGTTAAAGTCCATCCTAGTTCCAGTTAACCTGTTAAGTCACTCCTTCCAGTTTGTCTTCACGGAGTAAAATCTTTTTCTTCTCTGGAAAGTTTATCAAGTAGTTATAAGGATTTCTGAACCTTGTTAATGTCCTTAAAGAAAAAGTCCCAAATTTGTCCTTTTAAAAGTTGTGGATTTTCTTGAAGCTTTCTTTCAATTGTATTGAAAAATTTATATTTAAACCATTATAATAAGTGTTGATGTCAGGTTTATATTCTAAAATTGCAGTTGACTCTTCTGCATTTTCAGCTGCTTGTGAAGATGCTTTGGTAGTTTGGTAAGTTTTTACACATGTTTGCATCTCTAAAGTAGTTTGAAATTTTTTTTATCATCCTTGGAGCACAACTGATCTTCAAACTGATGAATTTTATTCAAATTTTTTTCAAATACATACTCCTCCATCTTGACTCCCACTTTGGTCAAAGAGTAGCTTTTTTGTAAGTCTTTTATAAATTGCTAGCTTTCAGGAATCATAAAAATCAGAAAGTTTTAGCTATCCACAGCAAGGCAGACCAAGCTACAAATTACTACAAATAATAAACTAAAACCACAATTTTCTGCCTTTATGTTTCTTTGTCAGCTTTTTTTTTTTTTTTTTTGCTCCATACTTCCTTATTTTGGCTTGCCTTAGCAGCCTTCTTCCTTGTTGTTTAACGTTGAAGAAATCCCCCAAATGGCACAGGTCTTCAAAAAGGAATAGCAGACTGTGACTAAAAGGAGCTTCTTTTAACTTAATAAAGATTAATAGTCCTTAAAGGTGATTAACAAATGAAAGGCATAACTTACTTTCTGTTTAAAAAGTAAATTTTAAAGCGGTTGCTTCTTCAACAGCAAACAGATTGAAGTCCCTCCCCCCCCCAGCTTTTGGCATACATTTGCTTCGAAGTGCAGCTCCTGAAGTTACTGGCAGACCTCAGCTGTATCAGAGGATCTTGAGGGGTAATTCTAAGACTTTCCCTAGCCAAGGAGAGGCATATAAATTGAAAGAATGCCAGTTCCTTCCATTAGAAGTTGAAGAGCTACAGTCCAGGGAAAAACCCTTCAGGAATCCCTCCGTGGGCATGCATTCAGTTGGTCATCTTCACCGGAAGTTAGCATTTTAACTATTTTAAAATGCTTTAAGTAGTTATTGATTGGAATGTATAATTGTACTTTTATTTTATGTTTAGATTGTACTGTAATCATTTATACGTTTATTATATTTAAGCTATTCTGAAAATCCTGATTGACCGTTGAGTAGGTTAAGAATAAATTTTAGGAAGAAAAAATACATGATCATTCTAGATGACAGATGTCAACTACTTCCAAGTTCTTTTCACCAACTTCCCTGCCCTAAGCTGGTATCTTTCAGAAAGAATAAATACTGCATTCTTTCTTATTATTAGCCATCAGTCAGATTTAGCAGGAATCTGATTATATCATAACCAGTCTGTGAACTTGTAAAGCATAAGGATATGTAACTATCCAAATTGGTTCCTACAAAATGTGGCCATAACTTAGTTTGTTTATTTGTAATCCATCAAGTGTCTATGTATGTGTGTGCATATGCCTTCATGTTGACTCCAGGCAATTGCCTGGACTGGTCCTTGCAGTTTTCTTGGTAAGATTTTTGGAAGTGGTTTACCATTGCCTTCAAGTCATAAAAAGGGAAGTTTTTTAAGCTAAAAGTGAACAGAAGAAGTTATGATTCAGTTGATTCAGTGTAATGTTTGTATCAAACCGGTGGAGCCAAGAATATAACTGTCACATGTTAGATAGATATGAAGAACAAAAGTTAGTGTTCAGAATTTTAAAAAAAAAACTTTTCTGTTCTCTAAATGAATCTAGAAAATTACAGAAATTTAAGGTGTGATGGTAGCAGCTATTTATGTGTGGACTATCTTTTCACATATTATTTGAAAGCATTCAGTCACATCATTAATGCAGTGAATCCACTCTAGTTATTTTTATATGAACTGTGTACTCTGCATTTAAATCCAAAGAACTTTACCACTGTAATCCAAACTTTACTTTGTTGTTTAGTGTCTTTTAGCTTAGAATTAAAACAATCAGGTCTTCTGAAATATTAGCCACCTGGAGTCATATATTTGAGATGGGAGGCTATGTAAATCAAATAAATAAATAAAATACAACATGGATAATATTTCATGTTTTACTGCTGCTTTGAAACAAATCTTACTCCAGTATGAATATGAATAAATATAGTTTCTATATATTAAATATTAGGACTGATTTCTACAACTCCTCTAGGAATATGTTTATCATTTTGATTTCAGTGATAAATAAGTTGCTGGTGGAGCCTGGCTTTATTATATGCAGTATTTTAGTAGAAATTGAAATAGATTTATAGGCACATATTTAATTTTTTATGTGTTTGGTTTGTCCAAAGTATAAATTGTACAAAAAATGTTTTTCTTTCTTTCTTAAGGTCATTGATATGCCTGAACATAATCCTGGTGACATGGGAGGAACAATGAGACTAGGGAAAAGAAAAACTATCTTTAAGACAAAAGACTCTTTGTTAAGTAAGTCATGGCATCTTTGGTTAGTTCTTTTGCTTTTGTGTTCAGACCATATAACAGTATCTTGTTCAAATATATATACTATTTTAAGAGTAACATTAATTAGATTTAATATCTTGTCTTTGTCTTAAATCCTAATTATAACTCTTGTTAAGCTTCTGCTTTCAGAAATCATTAGAAAACCTTAGGAGATATCGCAGGATGAAGTTGTCCTTCATATTAGGATTCTGAAGGATGTAATTACTACCTATTTCTGGTACCGTCTTCAAAAGATTAGATGTGAGTCTGTGTTAGAAGCAGAATCTTGATCATTATCATAATTCAAGGAGCAAAACAAAATGAAGCATTTCTCTCACTTCTTGATTTTATTTATTTAACTTGCAAGAGGCAGCAGGAGCAAGGTGCTTCTTTTCTGACATATAATTGATCAGGGACAAACATCCCTCCTATCCAAAAGCAGGATGCTGAAAGAAAGGGATCAATGGCATGAGAAGAATTGGGTTCATGATTAAGCAAAGCCAAAATTGATTTCCTGCAACAGAGTTTAAACATCTCTGCTTGGAGTCTATAACCATGTGGGAGTTGTTTTGGACAACAGTCACTCATTTTCAACTCTTCCTTTCAGGAACGGCTGTTGGGAAGTTGGTAGAGAGGCATCAGTTTGAAATTGTTCTGCTTCTTCCTAAGTGGGTGGTTTCATTCAGTGTTGTCAGGCAGAGGGTAAATACTTTGAGCTTTCCTATTTTGGCTGACTCAGTTTTGACCCTTCCCCATTCTTTTTAAAATTTACATTAACCCATTGAGAAGGACCTTTGTCAGTTGGTGATGAGGTATCATCAGAGTGCTAAATATGTAATTATACAGATTGTCCTCAACTTAAGACCACAATTGGGCCTGGAATTTTGGTCACTAAGCAATTTTGTTGTAAAGTGAGATGTCACATGTATTCCTAGTGACAGCAATTCCAGTAATCCAAATTGTTAACCAAATTGTATTGATCATTAGCTAAAGATCCATTCTACCCCAAGACATTTCAGACTTGGTCCCTCCCAGCCCCGAGCCTCAGGAAGATGAATGACTCCCTCCAACTTCCCCCATCTATCTATTTCCTCACCCATCTTTGCCCATTGAGCCACCTGGTACCCTGCCTTGTAGAGTGGCAAGCTATCCTAGAACCATATGTCCACTCCCAGTCGCCTTCACTACCTTGCATTCCATAAATTCCCCTTGCTTTTTAGGGAATGGGAATCATAGCTCCTCATTTTGTGATAGAAAATGCAGTTTTATTCTATAGAAATTCTGTTTTATTCTAAAGAAATTGTAGCAGAAGATTATTATATAACCATACAGATTGGTAGCAGAGGATGGATACATAGTCATAGAGATCAAATGAAGTGTACAGTGCACAATCATCATGGGCCTTGGTGCTTAAAGGTTTTTAACTGTCTTTTTAACTGTCACAGGAAACTCTCCTCAAACCATAGATTATAACCATAAATGTAAACACTGCCATCAACTGGCTGAATAATTCTGTAGTTGTTGCAATGCAAAATACATTCTCCAGCATGATGAGTGTAGAATCTACCAGTGGGTAATCTCAGCCTTCCTGCTCAGATGAGACTAAGTCAGAACTTTAGCCACACCTCCTTCTGGGAGTGTCTTCCCAGTTATTGACTTAGTCTCAGCTCAGTAGGATGCAATTTAGATTGGCTCCTCAGTTAGTCTAAGTTAATTTCTTTTTGGATAAGATTGTAATGTAATTGACTTTTCTTTAGCATTGTAACTCTTCTAAATTGATTCCAAATTGTTTGTTAGTTTAGATTGGCTTTTACGATTAATAAAAAAAGACCTCATAGCTGTGGATTAGGCCTCTCAGGCTTTAACAAGCCTCGTAGGCTCTGGACGAGCCGAAATCAGGCCGTTTTCAAGCGGCTTCAGCTCCGTTCCAGCTGATCGGCGCAAAACAGCCAGTTTAAGATTTCAAGGAGGAGCTCGGCAAGGCCGGACGGCCCCGTTTCAACTGCTTTCGACGCCATGAGGCCCCATTGGAACAGGAAGCATTCTCGGATCGCAGCGGAGGCTGCGCATCTTAACCGCAAGTTTATTAAGGGATATCAGGGAAAGAGAGCTCCTGGACTTCAGGCTAAGGGTTCCCTCAGCTTTCTGGCCACAGGGGTGGTTGTTAAAAATCTTCCGGTTGCTTTTTCCTCGACGCGGACGCCATATTGGGGTGTGTAAACTGGCGCGGACACCATTTTGACCTCATGTAAGGGTGTGGCAACCATTTTGAGGGAACCTCGTGTACTTTAAGAGCACGACTGGGCCTGTCCCTGATTAATCCTTGCCTGCCTATGGCAGGCTTCTGCCGGAGGGGCAGAACTCAGAGCATTCTCAGAGCTCAATTTCATTTTATTTTCAGTGAGATATCAGTTAAAGAAGGGGCTGCCACCGCCATTTTGGCAACTTCCTGTTTGGTTAAAATTTCTATTGCAACTCTAATTAGAGGCCTTCTGAGATCAACTCTGAGAGGGGGGATTTATATTAGAATCCACCTGTTCTAATTAGTTTGTGGCGCTGTGTTACAAGGCCTAGACAGGCAGTTTTAGATTGCTGTTGTTTCAGAGCACAGGGTCTCCCTCTCTGACAACCAGATCTGCATGTTGATTTCCCCCCATTCCTGGACATCTCCTACCCGGAATATCCAGGGTGCAATGGCAGACAGTGCATCGCCCCAGGCATCTCAGGGCTCTGATGTTCCCCCCGGACAAAGAAAATGCAGATCCTCTGATTTGGATGCGGGGGGAAAGAAAAAGGCCAAGACAAAGGCCTCATCCTCAAAAGAGCCCTCCAAAGCAGCCGAGCAAGAGGCCTTGAGGAGACATCAGGCATTGGAGAGGGAGTTCTCCAGAGCTCAGAAGCTTTTGTCCAGTGAAGCAGAAGTGGTTCCCCCGTTCCACTGGACCATTCCCCATTTGAGCCTCCATATGCGCCTTCACATGATGCCCCTAGGGCATGGTCTCCTCAGGGGGAAACTGAACAGGTTGGTCCCCCTCTCTCCTCTTCCTTTGCAACACATCAAGGCCCTGAGGCCACATATACTCCCACTGCAGCTGGTGTTCGTCCTCCTGACCAATATGACATATGGTCAGGGCAGTTTCAGACATTTATGCAGCAGGCATTCACACAATTCATGGCTTCCTCTATGGGTTAAAGACATTCTCATGTACCGCCTCCTCCAACCATGCCTCAACCTCACATTGTGCATGCCCCACTTACCGGTTCAGGTATTTCTGAGACATCCTCTCAATTAGGTGAGGAGTGGTCTGTAGATCTGGAGGCAACTGACATGCCTATGTTAGAGGATGAGGACGCAGGGCCGGAACCGGCACTAACATTAGGACTTTTTGATCCTTCCCTATTCAGATCCTTACTTATGAAGGCATGTACCACTGCCAATCTCACCCCTGAACAGGAAGCTAAACCTTATACCTCCAATGTGGAGGAATCCAACCCCTTGTTTTCTGAACACGTGGTGGAGGAGAAGCAGATCCCTTGTCCAAAGGTTTTTCGCACCACGGTGGAGAAACAGTGATCTTCATTGGCCACTCTCCCTTCTCCAAGTTCCACAGAAAAGAAACTGTTCAAAGTTTCTTCTTCTTTTGCTTCCCTCTTGGAGGCCGGCTATGGACACCCCACTAACCTCTTTATTCTCCACTTCCACTATTCCAGGGGACATGGCAGAGGCCTTGAAGGTGAAGGACAAGAGATTTGAGTTCTCTCTCCGTAGAGCCCACCAGGCATCAGCATGGGCAATTAAGGTGGCGACTTCATCGTCTTTTTTCGCCAGAGCGTCCATCATGTGGCTCCGCGAACTTCAGAACCTTGTCCCGCCCAACCAGGTGCGAGTGCACCAAACGTTAGGGAAGTTGGTTGCTGCGTCTGAATATGTGGCAGACACCTCCCTCCACTCAGCAAGGTACTCCGCCAGATCCATTGCAGCCACAGTTTCCTCCCGCAGGCTTCTATGGCTGAAACAGTGGCGGACCGACTTGAAGTCTAAATGGCGCCTCTCGACAGCCGCATACAGCGGAACATACCTATTCGGTCCAGTGCTCGAACTGTACCTCATAGAGGGGAAGGATAAGCGCAAAATTCTGGCACACCCCTCTAAGAGGTCAGATAGGCGCCCTCAGCAGGACTTCCGCAGACAGCCCTTTTGTCTGCCCAGTACCTGGGAGTGGAGACAGCCCTTTCGGCCTGGGCAGTCCTGGGATTGGCCCAGAGGCTCTAGATCCTTTTCCCTTAGACAGGATTGCCAGCAGGACCGCCAAAACCCGGGGGCCAAGGGCCAATTCCAATCCAAGCGCCCATTCATAGGATCAGGGGGACGTCCTTACAGGCGGTCCAAGTGACGCCAAGGAGGTCTCTCCCATAGGTGGTCGCTTGTCTCTGTTCATTGACATTTGGGAGGTTACCACCACCGATTCCTGGGTGAGAGATACTATACGACATGGTCTTGCCCTGGAGTTCTTTTCCATGCCTCCAGACCGCTTCATACCATGCCCCACTTCAAGAAACACAACCAAGGCAGAATTGGTAGCCATGGCCATTTCCCATCTGTTAGAAATAAGAGCCATAGAGCCGGTACCACGGGAACAGAGAGGGCAGGGGTTCTACTCCATTCTGTTCGTGGTACCAAAAGCCTCGGGGGAATGGAGAGTGATACTAGATTTAAAAGTCTGAATTACTTCTTGACCTACAAGAGGTTCAAGATGCAGACCCTCAAGTCCATTCTAGCCAGCATCAGGAAAGGGGATTCCTCTATTCCATAGATCTGACAGAGGTGTACCTACACATTCCGATCCTCCCAGACCATCGCAAATTCCTCCGTTTCTGTTATGTGCACCGGCATTACCAGTACAGGGTTCTCCCATTTGGGCTTTCTTCCACCTCACGGGTATTCACAAAGATTCTAGCAGTCCTGGCAGCCCACCTCAGGCTGG